TTTTTTTTTTTTTTTTTTTTTTGGTATCTCTGAGTGTCCTGTTCACACCTCGGACATCAGACAACTGCTTGATCATACTACATTTGGTTACCAAGGCAATACATAGACTATTAAATCTTAGATAGTTGGCCACCATGACTTAAAACAGATGTGGAGAAAGGAACAAAGGAGTTCCTTCAGTCATCATAATCAAGTCTATGTTTTTCAGAAAGCAGCCATTCTTCCTACAAATCTGACGTTCCTATGGCGATGTTAGCAGCCCAGAGAAAAGTCACTGATCTAGATGGGGAAGCTCACGTTAGTGAACAGTGTAAGAACGAGGCCTCTCAAGTCAAGATTTAAGCCTCATTTAATAATCAGTAGTTGGTTGGAGCCCCTTATTTTAGTTAATGAAAACTGTGATAACGTCCAGTCTAGTAATCTCAAGCTACAATGAGATCTCATTTGGGAGTTTCAGGGGTTGTTTATACCTTTCAATGGCCTCCGCAAGGACAAGCTGTGGAATGGTCGCGATGAACATCTCGAAGTTCTAAACCTTAGTCTTATTTATTATCTTTTTCTTTGGCATTATTATTTTCTAATACGTGCTCTGTAAGTTTTTAGCTTTCTTTTCTGTTCTTTTCTTTTCATTTTTTTTTTTTCTAAAAAAGAGGAAATAATGTGGTAGGTTTTGGAAGATGGTAAACTGACACTGAGACACATACTTAGAAGCCACCAAAGTCAAGTCTCCTTTGTAGCATGGAGCCCTGATGATACAAAGTTGCTCACATGTGGACATGCCGAGGTCCTCAAGTTATGGGACGTTGAAACAGGTACCTGCAAGCACACATTTGAAGATCATGGCTTTATTGTCAGCTCGTGCGCCTGGTTTCCAGATTCAAAGAGACTTGTTTGTGGCAGTGCTGACCCTGAGAAGGGTATCCACTTGTGGGACTGTGATGGAAACGAGATAAAGGCCTGGAGGGGTACAAGGATGCCTAAGATACTGGATCTTGCGGTGACCCCCAATGGAGAAAATCTTATAAGCATTTTTTCGGATAAAGAAATCCGTATTCTTAATCTGGAGTCGAATGCCGAAAGAGTCATAGCGGAGGAGCACTCCATCTCATCATTATCAATCTCAGTAGATGGCAAGTTTTTCATTGTCAACCTCAACAACCAGGAGATACACATGTGGGATGTTGCAGGGGAGTGGCAGCAACCGCTGAAGTACACCGGGCACCAACAGAATAAGTATGTAATTCGGTCCTGCTTCGGTGGCGTGAATAGCGCGTTTATCGCCAGTGGTAGTGAAAATTCAGAGGTGAGAATCTGTGTTTATGCGTTGGCTTTCCTAATCCAAGCAGTTCCTAATCCAATTAACCTCATGAATTCTTATTATGCAGGTCTACATCTGGAGCAGGCAAAGCAGTAAGCCAATCGAAGTTTTGTCTGGACATTCAACAACTGTCAACTGTGTCAGCTGGAACCCGAAAAGGCCGAAAATGTTGGCATCGGCGAGTGATGATCAGACAATACGTATCTGGGGACCGGCATCATCTAAGAACATCAAGCCTGGACAAAGTTCATGAAACAACTGGGTAAAAATCTCTAAATTCGTGCAGTTAAAATATCCATAGCTTATGTTCTTTCCTGGATTGTATTATCATCATCTTCTATCTGTATATTTCGGTTGTCATCCTTCAAAATTTTGGCATTTAAGCTTCTTCTTGTACAATCCATCTCGTGTGTTCTCTGTTACTGTCAATTCATTTTTGAGGAACATAGACCACTAGAATTTGTTCCATAGCAATGGAGATTTTGCACGCCTTTGATAGAATTTGGCCATTTCTTCATCTTTATAAGCTTTGAAGAGGCAAAAGGCTCTGTATTTTAGAACAGAATTTTACCCATAGCTTATGTTTATGGCATTATGGAATCAAATGGTTTATTTTACTAATAATACCATGTGGAAATACCATGGAATTGTTAAATTGACTTTAATCAGGCATATGGATGCAAATATTGTGGAATTTTGTGAAGTTTCAATTTTTCTCATTCACTAGGTTAAAATCTTATTGTTATTATATTAATGCAAAAACGTTGAATAATTATGATACGTCAGGATCCCACGTCACTTATAAGTTCGTATTCGAGATTCTCTCATTTCTATATGTTCAAATTTTAATGATAAAGGTAATAGATAATCATTGGTTATCCTACCGACAAATAAAGTTGCATTTTCTTTCTTTTTTGATTTGGATATGAAAGTAGAGATTTGAACATTTTGTCTAAAGGAGATTATGACATTCAAACCAATTGAACTATGCTATATTTAACACTATTTTACCTGTTCAACACTATTTTACCTGTTCGATTCTTTTATATTGGGATATATACGGATATATACGCACTATATTAAATAAAATAGATAATTCCTACTAAGAATTTTATTCAATAAAAATGAGGGAACTCATATTATAGTCACCTTATAATTTTCTGCCCAAATATTTCAACCATTAGAAGAACATGTACCGAATTCAATTGACTATTAACATCAACTTAAGAACAAGAAAATTTTGGTAAAATAAATAATAATAATAATAATGGTAATATATTTTAAGTTGCACACTGGAACAAGTATTATTAACCTATCCTAAATCAATCATGAAGACAAAATTTGCAAAATCACAGAACCAGCATTGACCTAAGCAAAAAGTTGCATCAAATAACCTCATGAAGGAGGAACCCATCTCCCAGCTTTGAACTCTTTGTAAAATTTTGAGTTCCTTGAAACAACATAAAAGACTGCATCCAAAAGAATCAAATACAAAGAACATATAGTTATTTTCAGTAGTTTTGATGCATAAGTAGTTAGGATGTTAAAAATGATTAAGGTAACAGCGCACCTGGTATTCCTGGCATAATATGGTTAGGCTTCTTTAGAACGTCGTGAAGCGTCGTCTTTTCATCGACTTTGATCCATTTAGAAGAGCCTTTATATGAAAAAATAGTGTATAGTCAGCACACTCGAATATTGCCCTTGTTTTCTTTAGTGCAACAAATGGGGATCAGGATTTGAACCTCGAACCTTAAGAGAAGGATTACATGTCAATTAACGTTGAGTTTTGTCCACTTTTGCTCGAATATTGACCTTGTTGGGGTGTGAACTATAATGTTTAAGTAAACAGAAAGATTGCCGAGACATAAATAACGATCCCGACAATCTCTTCCTTTGTGCGAGTTAATACACGCATATTTCGCCTCTAGAGTCATTTTTCTTTCCTTGCAATTGTACTTATATGTAAAAGACAGTTGCATGGATTCAAGTGTCCAGGATCAATAATGAAGAAGATTTGAGAAGATTTTTCATACATAACCAAGGGAAATAATGGGACATGGAGAGGAAAACATTGAGAGTATAAGCTCATGAATACCTTCTGTTTCTAAAGATCGATCCTGAAAAATTGGCCTAACTACCCTCCCCTCCCTGCTACTCAGCCCTAGCCCGTGTCACCGCCAGCAGATATTGTCCTCTTTGAGCTTTCTCTTTTGAGCTTCCTCTCAAAATTTTTAAAACACGCCTTCTAGGAAGAGGTTTCCACACCCTTATAAAGAATGTTTCGTTCTCCTCTTCAACCAATGTGGGATCTAACAATCCACCCCCTTCGGGCCTAGCGTCCTCACTGGCACTCGTTCCCCACTCCAATCAATGTGGGATCTCATAATCCACCCCCTTCGGGGCCCAACGTCCTCACTGGCACACATTCCTCTCTCCGATCGACGTGGGATCTCACAAGAACTATCTCCTACTTTCCGAGTTTTTTACATCCTAGGTTATACCATTCCCTAATCCTGGAAGAAAACACAATCTGGCACCCTACTTAATAAGGTATACATACGTCCAAATGACCAGCAAGAGAACCATTGATGGAACAGATACAATGATGTGGGTGTCGGTGATTAGACCGTATGACATAGTTAGTGTCGAACTCTTGTTCATCGGGGGCGCATTTTTTTTCTTTCTACGTCGTCGTATTCCTCTATTTCTTAAAAAAAAAAAAACAAAATAACGGGTAAAATGGCTTACTTGCAGAAGTGATATGATTTGAATCTTCAACTTCATCTTTCTCATCGAGCGCAATGCTTTCAACATTAGACGCAGCGGTTCCCTCTAGAAGATTCCGTAAAATTTTCTCTTTCGATAAACAAATTCCTGAACCAGCCTGATAACAACCAGCACATAAAGATTAATATTTTGGACCAAACAAATTGATCGTCTCCTTTCACAAGTACATAAACTAGCTAAGCTCACATAACTTATGTATATACAGAAACTTGCAAACGCTTAGTAATAGATACCTCATAGTATAGTTCAACTGCTTCACGGGTATATTTGTTCTCTGCATCCCAAGGCAAAGGTGGACAATCTTCTGAAAACATGTTTGAAAGCTAAGGATTCCCAAATTTGTCAATTCAAATGAAAATCATCACACAAATTCTCAATTAAAAATCTAAAGGATATCATATCCAGATGAGCTGCAAACATATCAGTCTCACAGAAATCCTCAATGAAGTCACTGGACATAACCTCTGCATACAGTAGAAGAACTGGCCAATGGAGAATGTTATTTTTATCTAATACAGGCTTTCTTAATCCAGTTAGTTCTTGATACGAAGCGCTCCCAATCTTCAAACCTCGTTGCACGATTGCAGAAACAAGCTTCTGCGTCGTTTATATAATAAAACATGAATTGAGCAGCTAAATGATAAAGCAATAGTATGATTATAGATTGTACATTACGAAACCTTTGCCTCTGCAATCGCTTTTGTGACTAAAGCTTCGCGTTGTTCCTGCTCGAGTTTCAGCGAATCAATCTGTCTCTCGAGATTTTTGATTTCTACATTATTTGGGTCGCACTTTGTCCCACTTACACAATAGGACTTTGCTTCATCTAATAAATTCAGGGAAAGAGATGCTTTAGCAGCTCGATAAATTGCCTACATAACGATCACGTCATTTCATTAAACTATATAATTTTAATCTAAAACATAGGTCGAGCAAGAGGGAAAACATTATATTAGAGAAACTTATAACTTGTTACATAAGTTAAAAGATTACAACAATTATATTGTAACAAGAATACAAGGAAACACATGTATTTGGAAGACAAAAATAACTACCTTGATGTTTGTGGGACGCAAATTGATTGCTTCCTCAGCATCGTTAAGAGCTCGTCTATAGTTTCCGAGTAGTAAATTCACGTGAGCTCGATTCGAAAACATAATAGAGTTCTCAGAGTTGCTTAGGGATTTCTGATTTATTGCTTTGGTGTAGCAATCAATAGCATCAGCATAGTGCTTTCTTCCCAACCTGACAAATTGATTTCCCTTTTCCTGCAAAGAGAAAAGAATAGGGAACTTACAAGATAAAACCAGATAGATGAATTCATTTAAACTTGAAACTCGCAACTTGTTTATCAAATGAAACAAAGACAGGAGCAATTAACGGGCGTGTTTGAGAGTGATTTTGAAACCGTTAAAAGTGCTTCTCAAAATCAATTTTAACATTTAAAAGTATAAAACCAAACAATTAAAGACATGTTTTATAGTGGTTTTAAACATGAAAAAAGTGATTTTAATCATTTCAAAAACACTCCCATACATGCCTAAAGGCTATGGTTAAGAAGCACGGATACAAACTCGAGACATGGATGCAACACAACAAGAATACATTGGTAAAAATATATTACTTTTATTGTAACGGCTCAAGCCCACCGTTACCAGATATTGTCTTCTTTGGGTTTTCTCTTTCAAGCTTCCCCTCAAAGTTTTTAAAACGCGTCTGCTAAGGAGATGTTTTCACACCCTTATAAAGAATGCTTCGTTCTCCTCCCAACCGATGTGGGGTCTCACATTAATACATGAAGCAAATTCAAAGTTAATAAGTTTATGCATTTACATGCTCACAAAATGAGTTTAATGTATTTCACTCCCAAATTTTATTCAAAGTTGAGTGTTTGATGTGTTCTAACAAATGTTGGACCTACATTGACTTTGTACGACTAATATCTAACATCAATATGTATTCAATAATAAGTGTTGGGGTGTCTAAGGGTCCAAAACATATCGAACATGGACGCCCACCGCTAGCAGATATTGTCCGCTTTGACTCGTTACGTATCGCCGTTAGCCTCACAGTTTTAGAACACGTTTGTTAAGGAGAAGCTTCCACACCCTTATAAGTAATGTTTCGTTCCCCTCTCCAACCAACGTGGAATCTCACACTAGTCATACTAAAGTGTTCTTGCTTCTTAGGACTACGGTTGCAATTGCACAACAATTTCGAGTCCAAATAACAATCTGAAATAGATTATGGGATTCAGAAACTTAATCTTCCCATCACAGAGAGCAGTTTTTACCAATTTTTCAACAACATGCATATGTAAAGCCATCACAACCAGATTCAACACTCACAATACTCATACTAAAGATTAAAATAAACAATCATATCAAGATTTTCAAGTGATCACCTTCTAAAGTACTCTTGAACATTGGCATACACATCTTTAAAACAAAATAGAACGTAAAGAAGATAAACATTCAATAAAGAAAACAAATATCCTTGCCAAGAACTACGAGCTCAATTCAATCACTTCTACTCGCGTCCAACTTCTAGAAACAAGTCCCACATTCGCTAATTAGGGGTTCTTTATGGGTTTATAAGGAATACATCTCCATTGGTACGAGGCCTCTTCGGAAAGCCCAAAGCAAAGCCACGAGAGTTTATGAACAAAGTGGATAATATCATACCATTATGGAGAGTCGTGATTCCTAAC